GTGAGAAAGGGAGGAAGGAAGAGGAAGAGAGAGAGAACAAGAAAGAAGGCAAGAGGAAGAAGAAGAAGAAGAAGAAGAAGAAGAAGAAGAAGAAGAAGAAGAAGAAGAAGAAGAAGAAGAAGAAGAAGAAGGACAATAAGAAGAATGACAAGGAGAAAGCAAAGAAGAAGAACAAGGAGAAGAAGAAGAAGAAGAAGAAGAAGCAGGAGAAGAAGAAGAAGAAGAAGAAGAAGAAGAAGAAGAAGAAGGACAAGGAGAAGAATAACAAGGAGAAGAATGACAAGGAGAAAGAGAAGAAGAAGAACAAGAAGAAAGAGAAGGAGAAAAAGGACAAGGAAAAGGAGGAGAAGAAAAACAAGGAGAAGGAGAAGAAGAAGAAAAAAAAGGAAGAAGAAAAAGAAGAAGAAGAAGAAGAACCGGAGGAAGAAGAAGAAGAAGAAGAATAACAGGAGAAAGTCGAGCATGATAATAATGAGAGGAGTCGGCAGAGAAGGATTAGAATCGTGAAGGTAAGCGTAGATAGCTACTGATGTTCTCTAATTACACAGACGTGACAGCTAGCTAATATCTAACCATAATATTATCACAACTAGTAATACTACTAACAGCAGTAATGTAAATACTGTAATACAAATAATGTATCATGTAAATGTAATGTAATAAATAATGTACAAATATAATACAACAGATAATAGCACTAGTAGATTTCCACGCGCTTCTACGGCGATAGTTTGAAGACAATTTGATATAAATTCGATTTGAAGATTCTACCGGTTTGACCGTATAGCTGAGAGCGCAAGAATTCTAAAAACTATGAAAATAAGAAAGAACATTAGGAAAAGGAATAAGGGAAGTAGGGCGAAAATAAAAAATGGACCAAGAGGACGATTATGAAATAAACATGAAGAGGGGAGGAGGAAGATGAATAAAAAAGAAGAATAAGAGAATTCGAAAAAAAATGAAAAGTGGAATAAGGTTATCATAGCCAAGGAGATAAAAACGCGAGAATGGATAATGAAAAAAGTGCAAGAGAGGAATAAAGAAGGCAGAGCGAAAAGAAGCCGAATATAGAAATGATGAACAAAATCTGAAGAAACGCCGGGAAAGGGAGATTGTAATACTTCAATGGCTTATATTCACCACGATACACGATATGGTGGCATTCACGTGGCAATAGATACAGAAACGTGACAGAAATAATCGAGATCATATAGTATTCAGATATCGTACCAAAATACTAAATATTTATACATAATTTTTGTTCAATATTCACAAATCTATACTAATGCGCAGCGCAGAATCATCGCCAGGTTTTGCTGATTCAATCGGATAGCTATTATAATTTTACCTTCTTCGCAAGAATGCAATCACAACGAGTTATTAGCCTGTCATGCAAATTACGAGGCATTCAGATCAGGTTCTTGTTCAGGTCAGTTAGAATTTCCACGTGAAGGCAACGATGTGCGAGTTTTGCGAGAGAAGTTAATCTTACTGTAGACGGCCTGCCGACGCCGTTACACACGCAATACAGTATTGCAGCATTCGGTTAAAATAATTGAAATATTGACTCTAGTGTAGGTTTGTATTGCGGCAGGTTTAATTATCGTTGGCACCCAATGCCGATGCTACAGTGTACAATCCACTGCGTATACAGTGTAGAAAATGCGACTGCAATTCTTCGCAGTGCGTTGCTTATGTTTGCATTAGGCCTAACCAAGGCCAAGTTCTCAGTGGGAAGAATTAAGAGCAATCGTGTAGAAGGTCGGTTTACGCAGGTACGGTCGGTAGTTAGGGAAACGTGCTCAAGTGACAGGTTCGCTCTCTCTCTCTCTCTCTCTCTCTCTCATTCTCTCTTTTTTCCCTTCGCCCTTATTACCTCTCTCTCTTTGACTAACCCTCTCAATTTTTTTCTTATTCTTTCACTCATTTGCTTTCTATTTCTCTCTCACGCTATTTTTTCCATTCTCTCCCTCTCTCTCCGCGCGCGCGTGTGTGTATGTGTATGTGTGTGTGTGTGATTGTGGGGCGCGGGTGTGTGTGTGTGGAGGATGCATGTGTGTGGTTGTGTTGTATGTGTGTGTGTGTGTGTGATGTATGTGTGGGCTGTGTGTGTGTGTGTGTGTGTGGGTGTGTGAGTGTTGCGTGGGGCTCTGGTGTGTGGAGTAGTGTGGGGGGGGGGCGACGTGTGGCATGGATCAGAGTGTGGTAGTGCGTGAAGCAGAGTGAAATGTGATGTATGTGTGAAGAGTGTCGTGTGTGCAAAGGGTCAAGCAAATAAAATAGATAATGCCGCGGCTTGTCAGTGGCGTACGCAGGATTTTCTAAAGGGGGTGTTAGGAGCACGCGCAATGGCGGCGGGGGTCTGGAGCCCAGGACATTATTTGAAAATTAGCACCCTCAGTCTATGCGTTTTCTGGCGCGAGCTGCGGGGCGTCGGACCCCCTGGACCCCCCTGTACACGCCCCTGGAAACTGTAGATTTCTGATACCGGTGCTGCCGCATTGCAACTGACGGCGTGGGTCCCGCGGTGGTAGATTCCATGATTCATCAAGCTGCGTACTGCAAATATGTTTGCGTAAATCTTGTCGTGCGTACGACAATCGAAGTTGCTTAGTTGGATTTATGACGCCAGTTATTTATAAATTGCGTTTACGATTTTCGCCAGTACGCAAGCGATGGCCGTTTTAGGATGCGGATTCATCAAGCTAGAAATTTACGTAAACCTTTGCGTAGAGAGTGTGTATTGTTGCTCATGAGAAGAGAGAGAGAGACGGCTGCGATGTGCGTGCGTTGGCGTGTGTGGTGTGGCTGTGTGTGTGATGTGTGATGCAGAGAGTTAGGGGTGTTACGTGTTTGTGTTGCCTGTATGTGACAGAGAACGAGACGAGAGTAGAGAGGAGATGAGAAGAGGAGAGGAAGAGGGAGGGAGGAGGGAGACGAGAGCGAGCCGAGAGAGACAGAGAGCAGAGAGTGAGAGGAAACGGATGGTGATGAGAGAAGAGAGAGGATGATAGAGAAGGAGAAAGAGAGAGAGCGCTGACCGGAGAGAACATGAGAAGTTGCTGTGTCGTGCGCGCGCGCCGTGTGTGTGTAGAGAGGAGAGAGTAGAGAGAGAGATGAGAAGAGAGAGAGACTGTGCTGTTGGATTTGTGCTGTGGTAGTGGTCTTGTTTTATTGAATCAAAGTACTATATCCATACTACGCTACCCTACAGACAGTCGACAACGTGCATAGGACCTAGCACTAAGCTATTATAAAAAGCCTGCGTTTGATAGCATAGGATGTGCAGTAAATCGCGTGAAATTCTGAAGATTCACGATGTAAACAAACTCAAGTCTATGAACATAATATGTGTGCTGCAATCATTCCTGCAATCTACGAGATCTGCCGACTGGTGCCTGGCAGCCTCATGAACTGTAGCCACCTAAAAACCCATCGCTGATAAACCTGTCTTGGTAATCGGGTCCTCTTACTCTTCTTCTTTTCCTTCTTCTTTTTTTCTCTCTTTTTTTTGAATCTCAGGTGGGGCGATTATTTGTACAGGCCATCCCCCTCCTTTCAAGAGCAGGGGGATGCATCCCCCCATCCCTGGGATTTACGCCCGTGTTAGTTGCACTTTGCCTGGGTGGCATAGTGCGAGCCGCATTGGTAGTGCATTCGGCGGTACGCGGGGTTGCGAGCGGGGGCTGAAAGAAAAATGAAAATAAACGCCTAAATTACCGCATTTTCTGTACATTTTTCTGTATTACATCAATATTATTACTTAGTTGCTTCGTTTTCCTTAAATCAATCCAATTGATTATTTGGCAGTAAGAAACATTTTGTCATCATACCTTCCTTGGGTACTCACCATCATTTATTGGCTATGTAGTCTGACTTGGGGTCTCTTGACAGTATTTCTTTTCCACCACCACCCCACGATCCAGATACCCAGCCAGAATTCGGCCCGACGCGCTGACCGGGCAAAGCATGCTCCCTTCAATATAACGCGAACGGATCGGCCTGAATAGATCAGCGAGTAGACTTGGGAGCAGAGGAATGTGCTGCCTAGATTCAGGCTTCTGGATCATAAAATTTTATAGCTACAGCGTTGACCTGACCTATCTGACCTGGTTCTCCGCTTATAGAGGCCTTAGATTACACGTATATACATGATATATGACTACCGATCCAAAAGACGGAATAACTAAATTAATGAAACGATTTGGTTACGCGAAAATTTATGGCCTTGGGAAAAATGTTGCTGCGGGGTCGCCCGACGCGCCTGCCGCGGCAGTTCGCGACCCGCCGACTGTGTGTGTGTGTTGTGCTGGCTGTAGTGTGTGTGTATGTGTGTGTGTGGGGGCGGGCGGAGGGGGGCTAGGACACACTCAGTCCATTTCTCTTCCATTTTACAGTTATATGCACAGACGCGCGCACGCAGTGCGCACAGCACACACCCACACGCGCAACGCACACACGCACGACACCACACACACAACACACACACACCCGCGCACGCCACACACACAGCACACAACTACACACACACACACACCACACACTACAACACACACACATTTCTCACTCATTTTCAGTCCCTTCTTATTCTCGGACTCTCCACCCAGTATCATTTAAACAACTGTGACGACTTGCGACGAATCAAGAGAACACAACAGGGCCTGCGGGAGTTCATCGCTGAGATGAGGCCTGTAGACACCCGGATGTCCGCTCAGGTCGTCAATATTATACAGGTGCGATTCTCCGTCCGTGATTAGCTGATGACCGATGGGAGCGTAGTCTCCCGTACGGAAGCGATCCAGGGCCGGTCCCCAGGTCGGATCCGGTCGGACGATCGTCTGGATCCGCTATGATCAGAAGAAATATATTCCATAATGAATACGTCATTAAATGGAGTCGTTTAAAGGAAGTAAATGCATTTTCGGCACTGCACTATTTCGAAATAACTCAATATTTCGGAGTAAACGTTATTTTTATGTGATGATAAATTTTCTGCGCTTGGAGCATATCAATATATCTTCGGGCTGTTTAAACGGTTTCTTCGGTCAACATGCTTTAAGTTAAAAAGCAAAATCTACAATATTACTTATAGTAAAAGAGTTAACAGCGGCCAGGCCTCCAACGCTTGCAGTCCCAGACTGGGAATCAGGCTGTGTTTCTAACTCAGAACTAGCTCTCTATAATGCAGCTAAACTACAGATTCCGTGGTAACACAAGAGCAGTCACACAACAGCCCAGCAAGATCACAGCACATCTGCACTCGAATTTAATTAGCAGAAATGGTTTACTGTTAGAACGTCTATATCGGCAGTAGGAAGCTGATATCGGTGATAATTATTCACAGTAAATTATATAACTTACGTCCGTGGCGAAGCGAAATGCGTTAACGGCTCCTACTATTAGTACCGGTGCCAGGGTTCCGAAAGCCATGACCCAACCGAGAACCTCTGCCCATTTAGGGTATAGTATTCCCTGTGACATCGGCGTCTCATATTCAAGAAAGTTGAAGATGAAAATGCCCTGGGGAACGATATAATTACATCTAAGATGTTATATGCACATGTCACTGCCTGGTCTATAATATAAATAATTGTCGTTTGGCAAACTTAATTGAATTAAATTTAAGGTTCAAATACTTTTGCTAGTCCACGTGTCCGACTTTATTTCATTTAATTTACCATTTACAATAAAAAATTCTCCCACATATATTTCCCATGTATAACTATAACAGAGCTCTTACCAGGACGAGTAATGGTGCCGTTATACACCAGGTGAAGAACCAGTAGCTGTTGAGTATGCTGTAGCCAATGTTAGATCCGATCATCATAGAAAGGTCAGCAAGGAAACGCCTGGCCCCTACATGAAAAAATAAATATCCCGGCTAGAGCGACGTCTACCTAGAGGAGGGATCCGCGCGCTGCAAGGGGGTTAGGATAAGGCTTGCCTAATTCCTAGTTGTTTTAAATTGTTTAAGTTATGCTTAATACAGACTATTAATTATGTATAGGTAGAGAACGTGTATTTTCTAAAATGAAGATGGTTTCTCTGAACTTGTACACACGCGAACTTGATTACCATACAACTATACTGTACTCGCTAGTCTTGTCGTACATTTACATTGCTGTTTACAACCGTACCACATATTCTTCAGCCTAACCCTACACTCGTGCCAGCACGAAATGTTTGACCAGCCTTACCGTACACCCACGCCACAACAATGCTCTCTAGAAGTCCCACAAGTATTAATGACCAGCATGTAGCATAGATGTTCATCAGGTCTATCCAGTACAGACCAGCCTAGTGATGAAAACAGCAAATCAGTTAATTAATCATTCATTTAATCAATCAATTAATCAATCATTAATAATTAATTATTTACCAATCAACCTATCTATCTATCTATCTATCAACCTATCTAAACGTATTCTATCTATTATCGTATCTATCATCTATCATCTATCTATCATCTTATCATCACTATCCATCTAATCATTCCATTCATCCATGCCATTCATCCGCATCCGTCGTGTACATCCTTCCATCCATTCATTCAATCTATCCAGTTCCATCCCATCCATTACTACCATCCACATCCATCCATACATGCTCATCCATGCCATCCATTGCCATTCCATTGCCATCCATTTCCATCCATTCCATCCAATCCATACACCATGACCATATCATTCCATCCATACCATCCATCGCCATGCCATTCCATTGCCATCCATCCATCCATCCATCTCATCCATCCATCCATCCATCCATTTTCATGTCATCCAATCATCCCGCCACCATGTCCATCCATGGCCATCCATTCTATCCCATCCATGCCATCTCATCCATTCATGGCCATCATCTAATCGTTATCTGATATATCTAACTATACGCACCACCCATAATCCACTCACAAGTCATCCATCCATTCATCCATCATCCATCCATTCGTCCCATCCATCCATCCATACCATTCCCATCATCCATTTCCAGTCATCCATCCATCCATCCATCCATCAATCCATTCCAGCCATCCATCCAAATTACCATCATTGCCATACCAGTGCCATCCACCATCATTCCATCGCCATACCACCCATCCATTCCATCCACCACCATCCATCCATTCATACATGCGCATCCATGCCACTCCATCACATCCATCCATCCATCCACTCTCCATACCATCCCGCCATGCCATTCTATCCATCCATTCCATGCATATCCATCTAATCCCATCTAATCTAATCTATCTATATATCCACTAACGTCACCCATTTCAGTTTCTCACACCATCCATCCATCCATCCATGCCATCCCATCTCATCCAATCCCATCCAGCCATCCATCCATCCATCCCATCGCATCCATCCATTTCCATCCATCCATCCATTATCCATCGATGTCCATCCATCCATCCAATCATCCATTCCATCCATTCCACCATCCCCATCCATCCATCTCCACCATCCATGCCATCCATTGCCATGCCATGCCATTGTTCCATTCCACATTCATTATCCATCTATCCACTATCTATCTATCTATAATACTAACTAACCATCCCACCCATCATCAATCCATCCATCCATACTCATCCCATCATTACGCGCCGTCCATACCATTCCATCATCATTCCACTCGCATTGCTATCCATGCCATCCATCATCCATCCATCCATCCATCTATCCATCCATCCATCCCCATCATCCACCACCATCCATCCATCATCCATCCAATCCATTCAATCATCCATCCATCCATTGGCTATCCATCGTCATCCAATTTCATTCATTCATCCGATCCTATCATCCATCCATCCATCCATCCATCCATCCCTCATCCCTCCATCCCATCGTATCTATCTACATATATCTAACTAACCATTCACCCATCCACTCATCCATCTACAATCCATCCATCCATCCATCCATCAATCCATCCATTCATCCATCCATCCACTCATCAATCAATCCATCCATCAATGTCACGGTCACTTCAACCGCATGTTACCCACGTTATGTAAAATTATATATAGTAGATGAGCATGAACTCACGCCTGTGCACATGGGCAGCCCCAGGACGTACATCGCTACGACGATAACACCAACGACTAGAGGCTTCCATCGACGCGTGTTGGGAAATTCATCAAAGACCATCGTGCTCATTGTCTGTACGTCGGCAAACTGCAATTTAATAATGAAATAAAGCATTCAAGTATTCAATCAATTAATCAATCACGAATAATTATTTATTTACCAATCAACCTATCTATCTATCTATCTATCTATCTATCTATCTATCTATCTATCTATCTATCATCTATCTATCACTATCTATCATCTATCTTATCTATCTATCATCTATCTAATCTATCTATCCATCTATCTATCTATCTATCTAATCAACTATCTATCTATCTATCGTATCTACAATCTAATCTATCTATCATACTATTCTATCTACTATCTATCTATCTATCTATCACTATCTACTAATCTACTCTATCTATCTATCCTATCTACTATCTATCTATGCATCTTGATTTATCAAACACTATCTATTATCTATCTATCCTATTACTATCTCTATCTATCCATCTATTATTATCTATCCGTACTAATCTAATCTATCTATTACTATTCTAATCTATCTACTCTATCTATCTATTCTAACTAATCGTATCATCTATTCTACTATCGTATTCGATCTATCTAATCATCTATCTACTATCATTTCTCAACCTCATTCATATTATCTAGTCTACTATTTATCTATCTATCATCTAGTCCATCTATTATTTACTATCGATCTATCTATCTAATCTTTTATCTATGGCTATCTATAATATCTATCTATCTATCTACTATCTATCTATCTATCTATCTACATCATGCTCTATCTATTCTATCTATGCTACATCTATCTACTATCTATCATCTCTCTATCTACCTATCTATCGTATCTATTATCTTATCATCCTATCGTTTCCTACTATCAAAACAAAGAATGAAACTGAAACAATGAATGTAGCGGACATTTCTCTCTGGATAAGTGTTCGTTGGAAACTATTTTTCCTGCAAACAAAAGTGTTGATGTAATATGCAATCAACATTGTACTTTCCACTCCTCGTTACAGTTAATTAGATTTTATCATTTTATGGCTATTATCTTTACGTGTATAGGTAGAAGTAATTGGCAGCTGAAAACTATCTAAAATAGAAGTGCGGATGTGTTATGTAAATTAAGTAACTATGCAAATTAAACCTTATTCACTACTCATGCACTTATACCTATAATAATTGTTAAACACATAAGCTCTCTGATCTTCATTATCGTACTTAGACCAATAGGATATTCTTTATGAGGTTATGAGAGATTTGCAGAACCAAAACCGTAATAATGAGGTCTACAATTTGATCAACACAGGTGGTTCGAATCACGTCAATTAACCTAGTTTCTCAAATCCACATCCCCGCCAGTAATTCAGATGAATGAGATTCAGGTAATCTCAATGTTTTTTTTGTCGCTGTTGTATTTCGACGCCGTAACTGTGTTTGTAGTTAATGCGTACATCAGTAAATGCCGCACGTACCGTGGCATCCAGTCCTAGATTCAGCATCAAGCCCCGCATTGAACGAAGAAGAGGATGGACCAGAGTGCCGCCACGGGCGAGCCTCGCCTACGAGGCCGGGGTAGGGCAACAACCCACCCTGAACCTGCAGAGTAAGCAAAAAAAAACCCTCTTCTCCTCCTAAGCGTGGGCATCGAGGCAAAGTTAATTACCCGACAAATAAGAGATCTTTTGCTCGCGCAACAGACTTTATTCTGCGAGTTAAGAAATGTTCGTCTGACTACACTGAAATCGTGATATAAAAATAGCACATTTAGATAAAGTATAATTCACGCACCACTATGGGCGCCTCACTCACATCCTTGTCAAGGTCGTAGGCCATGTGACCAAGATGGAGAAGATGACGATTTCCAGCGAAGAAGCTCATTGTGCAGTTTCCAAGCGCTAACATAAAAGCATCACGTACACAGTTGTTTCTGAAGCGACTGTAACTCGACAGCGTTAACATGCCGCCAGAGGCGACACCTAGCGTGAAGATTACCTGTCCTGCTGCGTCCACCCACACCTGTGTAGGAGAAGTGACGAGACGATAGAACATTTATCGATTATTTAAATCAACACGTGAGTGGCAAGTACCCATGGAGTGTGATATTAGCGCATGAATCCCCCACGTACCTTGAGTGTGATACAACAACTTGGATCCCCCACGTACCTGAGTGGAATATCAACGCATGAGTCCCTGCCAAGACCTGTAAGGGAATAATCAACGCATTGAATCCGCCGCGCGTACAGACTGTGAGTGTTGATAAACTGCATGATCACCCCACGATACCTGTGGAGGTGAAGTATCAACACATGAGTCCCCGCCAACGTACCGTGGAGTGTGATATCACGCATTAGTCCCCCACGTACCTGGAGTGTGAATCAACGCATGAGTCACCCACAGCTACCTGGAGTGTGATATCAACGCATGATCCCCCAGTACATTTGTAGTGTGATATCAAACGCAAGAGTCCCGCTCACGTACCATGTGGAGTGTGATATCACGCCAGAGTAACCCACCTACGTCGGACTTGATATCGACCGCATGGCGTCCACCACGGTACCTGTGGAGTGGTGAAATCAACGGCATGCGCTCCCGCCCACGTACCTGGGAATTTTAGTGAGCACGCTCCAGATCTGGTGTATGTAGAAGCGGATTCTTTGCTGCGCCCGCAAGTGATCAGCGCTCTGAGAGCAGGATAACGAGTACCACATAGGGAAATTAGCGTGAATAGACACGTCTGTGCATGCAGTATAATACCTATGTAAGGACCCGAGAGCCGCGAATATACGAGCTGTAATATATCGTACCTTGGTAATATATAGTACAGAAAACTTTGTTTGTTCTGAAAAAGCTCAGCTAACGATGCGAATGCTCACCTGATTGTTTGGTCGTTGTTGCAATTTTGCACGCTCTTACCTAGCTCCATCGCTGTAGCTGTTTCTCTCGCGCTACTCCACCCTGTATAACGGGATCGAAGGAGCTCCACCGGTAGAGCTAAGACAGAGCTTGCGAAATTGCTAGCTCTGACCTTGCAGTCGCTTTTGCGCGGACTCTCGAAATCTTACTCGCTACTCAAAGTACTTCGAATGTTAGCATTATAGTATGAAAACATTAACATACATTCGTGCAGTTAACCGCCAGACTCAGTCACGTACCTTGCCGGAGCTCTTGATGCCCTTAATGAGACACAAGTAGACTAGGATCCAGTTTAGTAGCAGACAGAGACACAGATCCCACTTGAGACCTCCCTCATAGTCTTCGATACTGGTCGTGAGGCCAAGCATCTTGTACCTGATCACATAATATACGGCACTCTTATACCTGATCACATAATAATAAATGTGTGGCACTCTAAATACGGAAGTGATGCACACGGATGGTGGTTCCGAGTAACAGCGAAAATAAATCACTGAAACAAAGGTTTAAATGAAACATTAAAAGGCTTTGATTTGATCAAATCGTGCCATGAAAACCGCGTACTATTTTAACCTTGGACCCGATTACATATTACCACCCAACAGACCAGACCAGAGTGACTACCATTTAGCGATGAGACGTTATATATACGTGACTGCGTTCCGAGTTGTTGTTGTTGTTGTTGTTGTTGTTGTTGTTGTTGTTGTTAAAAGTAGGACAGCCCGGGACATCATAGCTCGTTTCCTTGCGTCAACTTTAATTTTAAAATCTGTGAATCCCAGTCCATTATGTAATTGGAATAGAGAAATCATTGAACAAATCTCTCGCTGCAGAACATAAACGGAATCTCTGCATGTATTTACTTGTAGTATTCCTCGCTTGCTGATGTGCGCAGACTGCTTTCATTGTTCGACAGCTGGTCGCAAGCATTCGCTTCCTCTGATGTGAGATTCAGATAACACCGACGTGCGTGGTAGGTGCCGTTACTCTTCATGCATTCTTCTTCTTCTGATTTTGACCAGCAGGCTGTAAACGTGGGGAAGTTGTCAGATTCGTTATAGTGTTGTATTACGTAGGCTTTCATGACATATTACATCATTAAATGTAAATTCAATGCATTTTATTTAAATGTTATATGTCTGATATCGGCTTTGCAATTTTTAATGCCGTGACAAAGACTTGACGACGAGGCCCTAACCACATCACGATCACGCAGTAAGAAAGTGCGCTTACAGTCTGTGTTCCATTCGTTATGGCAGCCCGACCACGGTAGAACCTTCTGGAAGGATGCAAACAGGTAGTAGAGGCTCCACGCTATAATGACGTTATAATAGATGGTTGACAACGCCGTTAGCAGCACCATCGCATACCCGACACCTAGACAAGAAGAAATTAATGCACAATTAACACATTAATCAGAAAGTGGAGCAAACTATAAACAACGATAAACACATCATGTGAAATAACTAACTGACTGGCTGACTCGCTTATTTACGCACTCGCTCACGATAACTCCACTTGTTCTTTAACTTACTAATAAACCCACTCATTTATTGACTCGTTGCCTATAGAGGGTTCCGCGACTTGCACTACAAATAGCAATACCAGGTAGCAATAGCAGGTAGTTAGAATTGCGAACACGTGTTACCGATATGAGCAATCTAACGATTTTACATTGATAGATTGTACACACGATAGTGTTCTTATAGTAATCTATATTAGCAGTAAGTGAATCCCGCTTTTGCAGACAGGTTTACCAGCGCGTGTTGGGGTGCTAGAGTTCGATATAATTGTGCAGACCCGGTTTTACAGGGTGTTGCAGGCAGGTTTATCAGCGTGATTGGGATTCTCGCTTAGAGTTCAATGAATTACACAGGTCCGGTTTGCAGGCTTTGCATGCAGGCTTATTAGCGTCGCGAGATTGCACGCAACACATATGTTCGTGGACTTGCAGTTTGTGTTACATCGCGAGTGTTCAGAAATTTACCGATTTTACTGCATATAGCTATCAAAGCGCAGCGTTTTATAACATCTGGTGTATGCACATTTGCCAACTGTCTGAAAGTGTACGTAGTATGGACACGTACTTTGATTCACTAGACAACGTAGCCAAAGCACGCTATCTCGAGAATATTGCGTGCAATGGGAATCGACACCCGTACGAGAATGGAGCGAGGACCACAACTTGTGCCCATCACGTACGTTATTGAATCTCGTGAATTGACTACCTAACATTCTAGCCGAGACCATTTATACTCTCAAGCACTTCAGAACCAGAAAAGCTGGCTGCCTACGAATAGACTGTTCTGCGGTTGGGTTAGTGGTGTATCAGTCTGCATCTATCATCGTGAACAGTGGAGAGTCCCATCTACGTTATCGAGCACGTGTTATGCACTCCCAGTCCTGAATTATACCATCTCTCTATCCGTGCATGGGTAACGATGAGAGAGTATGGGACAGGCATCATGTCAGCACACTGTTATTGTAAAGCCGGCTTGGTGAATTCTGTTCACATGTTGCTCGTGCTATTTATAGTAGAGTATGCTAGCTGCACGTGCCAGAGAAATCACCACCCCTACTTCAAACAGCTGCCTACTGATGCGGCGATATATGTATATATGTGTAAATGTGTAGCGGCGTGCGCCGTGCGTGCGGTGTACCTATGTGGTGCAGAGGAGCATTTGACCGGCATTTACAGGTAATTATCGGCAATACTAGGCGAAAGAGAGTAGAAGAACATTAAGACATTGGTAGTAATACATTTCGTGTTTATTCAGCATTGTTTTTTATTGAAAATGCTCCAAGCGTCGGTGGTCTGCCTGGTCTCTCGTCGCTTTGGTTTGTGTTGTGATTACGCTAGGCAGCCTAAAAAAAGCTGTGTGGCTCCCTCCTGTACCAATTACTGCAGTTGAAAACACCGCAGAAAGCGGCGTTGTGATGGATTTGCTTAATAGTGCGAATAAAATGAGCAGAGAGCTGCGTTGAACAGTAATGGCCGGCGGCGTTGCATTGTGGGTAATTTGAAAATTCGCGGAACCCTCTTATGAACTCTCTTATTAACGCTGACTCGTAGATTGACTGATTAAGGGAACCAACACAAACCGATTTGCCATTTTACAAACTGGCTGACAGAATGACCGAATAACTGACAATGTCATCAATCAATTGCTCAACTAATTAAATTATTAACTAACTAACTAACTAACTAACTAATTAACTAACTAACAAACTAACTAACTAACAAACTAACTAACTAACTAACTGTAGCTAACTAACTAATTAACAAACTAACTAACTAACTAACTACTGACCAACCGTGAAACACAGGTGAAATCTTTCGGAACACCCCGATCGGTCCAAGGCTTGCAAACTGTCCGAGAGATAGCTCCAGGTATAGCAGCGGCAGTCCCACGAAGAACAGCATGATCAGGTACGGTATGAAAAACGCACCTGTATGACGATGGCATAGGTATACCAAAACGTGCTACAATCAGGAGTGTTATATATTATAGACACTAGCGCCTATATTATGACACTTCTGCCCAATGGATAATGATTATGATGATGATGATGATGATGATGATGATGATGATGATGATGATGACGTTACAACTACTACTACTGCTGCTGCTGCTTACACACTACTACTACTTACTACTACTAAACTACATACTACTACTTACTACTGCTGCTACTACTACTATCTACTCCTCACTCTCTCACTACTACTACTACTACTACTACTACTACTACTACTACTACTAATAATAATAATATTAATCTCAATAAAATGTATTATCATTACCTAATATTAACAATAATAATAATAACAATAAAATGCATCGCAACCAACACTTATCCCCACTGAACAACCTGAACACCTACAACCCCCAGAGCCCGAGGCTGAACAAACACCGCAGCATACGGATACCCATAAAGGTGAATCAGTAGTGGATATGGAAGATCGAATCTCTACTAAGCTGCTTAAAACTCAGGCAATCCCCCTTGATCAACGCAGAAGCCTGAAAAAGGTTAATCTCAACAAGGCAATACGGCACGATATTCAAACTGCAACTCAGGCCCTCACCAATATCATCAAAGATAACCATCTAAACCTATCAGAAATCAATAAATTAATGTACGCGACTGTTGCTGTTATTGCTGGAGAGACAAAAGAAAGAGTCACGAAGCCCACAGAGGAACCAACATGGAAGAACAGAATCATAACAAAAATTGAAAACCATCGCAAGGACCTCTCCACTCTTAGCGAAATAAAAAAAGGTGTCACAACAGAGCAAGTGCATGCCAAGGCCAGGAGCATCTTATGCAAGAGCCGACGGAAGAATAAGACCATATGCGAGCTCGAACAAGAAATAAAGATGAAACTACAAGCCAAAGCTCAGAGGTTGAGAAGGTTTACTAAGCGGAGTGCGCACTACTATCAGAATAAGCTCTTGAAAATTATACCGGCATCTCAACGAACAGCAAAGCACCATCAAGGAACCTTCCTCTCAAGAGCGAATCGATCAATTCTGGCGTGGAATACTGGAAGTTGGCATAAACCACAATACCAAAGCCACTTGGATCAAATAAACGGAGGAAGCATTCCAGAATGTAGCAATGGATGTATGGACTGACATTACAATGTGTGAGGTACAGCAGGCCATCAAGTGGACCCACAACTGGAAATCTCCTGGCCCAGACAAGCTGCACAACTTCTGGATTAAGCATTTATATGCCCTCAATAAACAACTAACCAGGGCCTTGAATGACACCATCAAGGATCCAAGCAATAGCCCTAAGTGGTTGACATCAGGAATCACATTCCTTCTTTCAAAAGACAAAGATACAAAAGAACTATCGACCAATCACTTGCCTGCCTACCACCTACAAGATTCTCACTGCTGCAATCAGCAACCGCCTCTACAATCACTTACCGAAGAGCGGCATCCTCACAGATGAGCAGAAAGGCTGTAGAAGTGCATCTAGAGGGTACAAAGATCAACTTGTCATCAGTAACATAATAGTGAGCATGGCAAAAAAGCTCAAGAGGAACCTAGGAATGGCGTGGATTGATTATAAGAAAGCCTTCGACAATGTCCCACATTCCTGGATTCTCGCAGCCATGAGAATCTACCGTGTATCACCAACCATGAGCTGGAGCAGGCATTGGTTACAGTCAAAGCATTCAGTTATGACATTAAAATGGAGTTTGGCTTGCAAAGGTGTGCAATCGCAATCCCTAAAGGTGGTGAGCTAGTAAAAAGTCTAAATATCGAGCTTGATGACAAGACAGCCCTACAAAGTCTGAACCACGAGGACACCTACAAATATCTTGGTGTAGACAAAAGTGATGGTATTCAGCATGCAAATATGAAGAAGAACATTGTTAAGGAGTACTATCGCCGAGTCCGCATAGTTCTCTAGTCTGAGCTCTGCTCAAAAAAACAAGATAGCAGCGACCAATAGCCTGGCACTCCCGGTCCCCGTCTACAGCTTCGGGGTGATCAACTGGTTGCGATCAGATATTGAAAGGATGGATCGCAAGACAAGCAAGCTACTAACCATGCACGGGCTCCATCACCCAAAAGCAGATGTAGAGCGAGTGTACATCAAGAGGTAAAATGGTGGTCGTGGTCTCATTGAACTGATGTCTGCGTACAACACTGCCATTATAGGTCTAGGCGACTACATCGAGCTTAAGGAAGACAAATTTACAAAGCTTATCAAAATACATCAGTCTGGAAAATCATAGCGCGCTCTATTACACGAGTCTAAAGAAATCAAAGCAAAATACTTGTCTCCTTAGACCACCAGCCAATTTTCAACAAAGCAGAAACTGAAGGACAATATGGAAGCAAAGAAGATCGAGGTATTAAAGAACAAGCCTTTGCATGGAAGATTTTACAAGAGCCTCGACAGGCCATTTGTCGACAAAACTGCAAGCGTTGCCTGGCTGAATAGTTCCGGGCTCAATAGAAAGACAGAAAGCCTGATCATTGCAGCCCAAGACCAAGCACAATTAATTAACACCAGATATCATCAACGCAACATCATCAAGCAACAGGTCAACAGCAAGTGCAGAATGTGCAGCAAAGCAGAAGAGACCATCAGCCACATCATCGCCGGATGCACAGTGCTGGCCTAACCGAGTAGATAAAACGCCATAACAAGGTAGCCAGCTATCTGCACTGGTCAATCTGCAGTGAACTTGGTGAGCAAGTACCTGACAAGTGGTATAAACATACTTCGAGACAAGTTACCAACATCGGAGATACTACCATAATGTGGGATATGGCATGGCAGACAGATCGCACGATACCTGCAAACCGCCCTGATATAGTGCTCCACAACAAGAAAAAAAACGATGCCTGCTGATTGACGTAGCCGTATCAGATGATACTAACACCATGGTGAAAGAAAGAGACAAACTCTGATCAAATGGAGAAAGAGTACAAAGATCTGGAGATCGAAATTAGGAGGATGTGGAATACTAAGACGAGAATTGTTCCAGTGGTGGTTGGAGCTCTTGGCTCTATAAAGAATGGTTTTGAAAAGAACATTAAAGAACTCCCTGGTCACCACACTGCCCAAGAAGTGCAGAAAATCGCACTACGGGGAACAGCACACATCCTGGAAAAAATTCTGGATTGAATCCCCATATGTCCCAGGTTGGGACACGGTCAACCCAAAAGCCATCGGCTAATGCCGTGATCCACTTTGGAAATAATAATAATCATAATAATGATAATATGCTTTATAAGTTTTATTGGGATTATTATTATTATTAATATTATTATTATTGTTATTATTATTATTAATATCGTATTATTAGCATTAATATACTAAAACCATCACGATAAAACACATCATGCACATGCTACAAGTGCGGAGCGCCCCCTGGCGTCGCTCACCTCCTCCATTCCGGTAGCAGAGGTAGGGGAATCTCCACACGCTGCCAAGACCAACGGCGTAGCCGAGACATGACAGGAAGAAAGCTAACGTGCCGCTCCAGTTACCGCGCTCTTTGTTCTCATCGTCATTGTCATCCTCCTCGTCCATAGCCAGCGGTTCAACAAGCGCGCAGACTTGTTGCAGAGACCCCTGGTGACAATAGTGAGAAACTACAGTCAGTATAGCTCTGTAACCGTGTGTCTGCCAATAACAAGAACGGGATAGTGTGCGGAGTACGCACACACACACACTAGCTCGCGCGCGCGCACACACGCACACACACACGCGCGTGCAACTAGAGAGATAGAGATTGAGAGAGAGAGAGAGAGAGAGAGAGAGAGAGAGAGAGAGAGAGAGAGAAAGGGAGAGCGAGAAAGAGAAAGAGAGAAAGAGAGAGAAAAAGAGAGAGGGAGAGAGAAGGGAGGGGGAGAGAATGATGAAGATAGCTGGTGGGCAAAGGACGAAGAGACATCAGAGATGAAGACCCACGTAGAGTGAGATAAAGAGCAGCGATATACCTCAGACATGACCTGACCTTAGAAGAACCTCAATGATTAGCCGCAAACATATAATCAGTTTAAGATTTTACCGCGTTTTTCTTACTCCTGTACAAATCAGGTAAAAAGATCAATCGGGTCATCAGGTAATCAGGCAAATCAGGTAATCAGCTAATCAGGCAAATCAGGTAATCAGGTAATCAGCTAATCAGGTAATCAGGCAAATCAGGTAATCAGGCAAATCAGGTAAATCAGGTAATCAGGCAAATCAGGTAATCAGGCAAATCAGGTAATCAGGCAAATCAGGTAATCAGGTAAGCAGGCAAATCAGGTAATCAGGTAATCAGGTAATCAAGTAATCAGGTAATCAGGTAATCAGGTAATCAGGTAATCAGGTAATCAGGCAAATCTGGTACAAATCAGAGTGCCACACACCCAATAGCATGGTGCTGTTTATGTAACGTGTATAGTGTAAAATATCAATGACTGTCATTGGCTGTGTAAAATATGATTGACTGTCAATGACACCAGATATCCTAGCTAATGGTTGTATGACATCAAGGGGTGAATAATTAAAAATTGACAATTTGACATTTCGAGATTTTGACAAATTGACAATTTGTCATTATTCACCCCTGATGACATGAGCAGCGGATCGTCAACTGCGTTCACGCAATCTGCGCTTAATCTGACAAACATATTCATTGCCACATTTCCAATTAATGATACAGAAACTGCAACTACATTAATCAACCTATAATTAATTATTATTATTAATTATTAGAAATTAACATGTGTACAGTATGGGGACGTAGACACTCGATCGAAGCCCGAGATTCGCCTAGGGAGCGACAATAGAAACATATAAAGTTATGAAATCATGATTCTTATAAATATCATAATATTTGAAGTGAAGTGTCGTGAAAAGAAGTTCTGAAGTATATATGCCATATAGCATTTGTATCTTTAATCGACATCGACTTCGCAATAGATAAACACGTGGCAGCCGTAATAAATAAATAAATATATATATATAAATAGTAGAAAAAATAGTAGCACGGTATTCAGTTATTATTGATACAAAAGAATAATCCAACATTTAGTTTTGCACAAGCGCTTTCATCTTTATAGAATCTTCAGGTGTATATCACCTAATATACATCGGAAGATTCTATAAAGATGAAAGCGCTTGTGTAAAGCTAAATGTCGGATTATTCGTTTTTTATCTATTTATTTATCTATATATCTAATATATATTTGAGTTCGTATGTATGTATCTATGTATCTATGTATCTATGTATCTATGTATCTATGTATCTTCCCTATAGGCGGCCAACA